ACACACACACACACACACACACACACACACATTGCGTTTATCTGATCAAACCCCACCCACACAGCCCTGAAGTGGAAGATAAGTTTTTAGGTTTTACACCTCGAATCAAATTTCCAGTCTTTAAATGTAATAGTGTGTTTATATACAGTAATAGTAGTAACAGTTGGAATTATTATTATGTCTTTAGTGTTTGCATCAAGTTCAGATTGAAAACATTTAAATTTAATAGCAATATAATGATGCATTAAATGCAGCATAAAGAATAGTAAAGAATCCCAATCTATAGTAATATATAGCATTTGAGCTAAAAATACATAGAAAATAAATATAAGGATAGGCAATAGTAAATCATTGTTACTTAAAGAGTAAGAAATGGTAAAAGAAAAAATGTGTCTGACCTCAGGAACAGTCAGGAGGTTTAAGCCAGAGGACCTAAGGGAGCTACCAGGCACATACAGTATGTCATAGTTATGTCAGGAAATAATAATATCGACCAAACCTTTTCAGTGATTTAAAAACCAATAAAATATCTTAAAATGAATTAGGAGTAATGTAATCTCTCTGTCTGGTCTTCATCAGAACATGTAATGCACCAAACAGAAGAGTGATACAGTCCAGTCTGCTGTTGATAAAAGCCTAAGAGTCCATTTTTTCTGTCTGTGAGGCAAAAGACTCTGAAGCTACATTTCCAATAACAAAGTATGTCTTCGATGCAACACTCAAAAATCAGTTCAGGCAGGTTGAGCATAACGTGATAGCTTTCAACCTGTTCCTTTGTGTTCAGCACAGCTTCACAGCACACTGGGGTAAAGCAATACTTCATGTTGTCACATGTTTCATCACAAGGTCTATTGTGCAGTTTTTATCAAATGCAGCATCTTTCAAACTATTCTGGATCAATCTCCCATGGCCCTGTTTGCTCTCCAATAAAGATTTGTAAGTAATGTGTGTGTTTGTGTATATTTTCCAGGTCAGTGATGAGCAGGCGCCACCCAAGCCCCCCTTGCCAGAGGGCGAGGTGCCCCCGCCGCGGCCCCCTCCCCCAGAAGAGAGGGACGAGGAGTTCCCTGAGCAGAAGGTCGGGGAGGTGCTCAGTGAGCCCATGATGGTTGCGGCCAGGCAGCTGCATGATGAGGCGCGCAAGTGGTCCAGCAAGGTCGGTTCACACAAATGTTCCAGGGAATATAACAGTTTGCACAATATTTACATTAAAAGTATATCATTTCAAAATCGGATGTTCCGATTCATACAGTTCTGGGTGGAATACGCTGGCTGGTTTTGTGTTATCCTTATGTCAATATAGCACATGTAGTTTGAATGATCCCAGGATTTTACTTTTCCTCTACAGTCAATTTCATGTGGACATTCTCCGGAGTTTTTACTTGGCTCTGATGTGTGCGTTCTCACACACAGCCCCTCCGGAGAATGTCAGGAGATTATCCAAGGGTTCAGTGCATGTCATATATACTTCACATTCTGGGAATATCCTGAAACCTGAAAAAGTTTTATTTCCTGAAATCATGTTGATCCTGAAATGTGATGAGTGGCTTTATTCCTACTTCAAGAGGAAACTGTCTGTTCAAAGATTTTGAGAAATAAGTAGAGAGGAGAAGCACATTATATTTAAAGGTTCAGTGTTTGTGTGTCCAAGTGTTTCTGTGTGGAGGAGCTGTGTGTAAGAACAGCTATATTGTTTATGGATATGACCACTGATTATCCAGGAATAATGTCCGGTTGCTCTCTTTTCTCTGAGAAGCTTGTCACCGTTTTCCCCCTCTATAGCTCTCATGAAAGCTTCTCCTCACCTGTTTTATGATTCGTGCATCAGAGGTGTCGTTGGAAACCAGGCACAAGATATCTCTGATAATAAGCGACGCACATTGTTCCCCATCACACTCCTAAAGGGAAGCCGCCCACTGGTTTTGGTTACAGTTGGACCATGTTTGACTGTGCAAATGCTTTACAAAGCACAGCCTCAGACTCAGGCACATCGTCCTCCTGCTGCCTGCTCCTCTTTCCTCTTTCTTTCTTTGCCCTGCACCGAACATCTCTGCCTGAGCTTTCAGTTTCACCTCCCCTCTCCTTGCTCCTTCACAGCGCTCGCATCCACTCCTCCTTTGTCCTTCTGTTCTTCCATCCAGTGCCTCTCATACTGTACTAAATGCTTCCTTCCCTCCTCCCGTCCCTGGCTCTCTCTCTCCTTCCCCCTTCTTCTCCTCCGCATTCCTCCTTTTTTCCCCTCCCTCGTCTCCTCCCTCCCTCTCCTACTTTTTCCATCCAAAATCGGCCCTACTCCTCCACCTCTGCCCCCGCACGCCCAGCCTGAGGAAGAGGAGGCGGTAGAGGAGAGGGAGGTAGATGATGACGATGAGTTTACTGATGGTGAGGATGACTATGAGCCAGAGCTGCTGATGATGCCATCCAACCAGCCTGTCAATCAACCCATGCTGGCAGCCGCCCAGGCTCTCCACCAGGAGGCGCGCAAATGGTCCAGCAAGGTCTGCGCACGTACATGCACACAACCAGATGCCGGTCAGATAGTGTTTGGAGCTGCACACACACACTCACACATCCATGCATGCAAACACACAAGAAAACACCCTGCAGGACAAACAAACACCCTCTGGAGCACTAGCAGACAGTCACAGCATCTGTGCAAATGATAAGCTCTGCATCTGTCACCATGGAAACCAGCTGTGTCGTTGCCTCTCACGGTTATGCTGACACTAATGCTCAGGTTGCACTTAAAGGTCAAGGGTTGTCGGAATGGCAAGTTTGTTTGTTTGTTTGTTTGTTTGCACCACGTTGGATAAACTGCTACTTGCTTCACAAGTCCCTCCCCGTATGTTCACGATTAGGTAAAGTGGTTTAAAGGAGGAGTAGAAGCTCCGTCTCGCTGTTGTCAGTCACTCGTTGTCTGACTAACCTGTGAAGCCAAGGATGACACACTCCCAAAAGACCTCTGGGTGACGTAGCTTTGCTGTTAGACTGCCTGCTCGCCCAGTATGACGGCCTGCTCCTGCTTCCTGGAGCCTCAGGGTGTGTACTGATCACCCCCGGTTCTGTGAAGGTCACCTCATGGGCACTAACCTCTGTGATGAAGGGGAGATCACAGTTTCCTCCCAACTACAATGCTTCTAAATTTCAGAGTTATCTTCCTCCATGAGGATTGAGGAATATGTGCTCACATGCACTGACACTGCATGCAGCCTTCTCATTAACACGCCTGAATTTGAATTTTGTGCCTGTTTTGCTTTTGTATTTCCAGTTCATTCAGCAGCATTCCTCTCTAATATCCCACATTTTGATTCTTATCAGACAAATGTGTGGAAACATGACCCACACAAAATGCTCCTCTTGCATTCTCATCTCGTATCCATTATCCTGCTCACAGCTCTCACTGCCTCCTCATCCTCCTGCTTCTCCACAGGGTAACGACATCATCGCGGCGGCCAAGCGCATGGCTCTGCTGATGGCAGAAATGTCCCGGCTGGTGCGCGGCGGGAGCGGGAACAAGCGGGCACTGATTCAGTGCGCCAAGGACATCGCCAAGGCATCGGACGAGGTGACGAGACTGGCTAAGGAGGTGGCCAAGCAGTGCACCGACAGACGCATCAGGACCAACCTCCTGCAGGTGAGAATACACAAAACGGACAATAAACAATCCTGCGTGTCTCATCCAGAAGGTGCTTTACATATTTCTCGGCTTCCACAGGTGTGTGAGCGCATCCCGACCATCAGCACGCAGCTGAAGATCCTCTCCACCGTCAAAGCCACCATGCTGGGACGGACAAACATCAGTGAAGAGGAGTCCGAGCAGGTAAACCTGGATTTACACTAGAATCTATCACATCATATATAACTGCGATAACAACTTAGAATATGTCTATTTATTTCTGTTCTTGGTTAAAGTTATTGTAAGAAGAGATCAATAGTATTTCTGACTCCACTATACATATTTTTTAGTGAAGCTCTCAACCAGCTTTTTCTCGGTTGATACAGCGGCTTTGACCTTTAGAGTATCTGGTATTTATTAAGAGACCTACAGTTACTGACAGTGATTGAAATAATGAACGAACTCCATAATGACACTCATAAAGAAAATATTCCATTTAATGTGGATCAGTTGGGTCATGGCCGATACCTACTCTGTCATTATCACATACTGCAAATACTGATTCATATGTCAGTGCATCTTCTTTAATAACTTTTGGTAGTGAAAAGTCACTAAGTACATTTACTCAAAGCTCTAAACTTTTGTACACCATATATACTTTCTTTTTGCCTTTTGACATCTTACACATTGTCTTTTATTTAATGAAAGGCTCCTGTGAAATTCTTTCCTCTAAACCTCTAAAGATTGTTTCATTTAAATACTGTATTAGCTCAAGGCAAAAGAAAATCAAGAGGTTATATTATCCAATATGTCTCAAAAAAGCTTAAGATTAAAGTTAAAATACACATTTATGAAGCAAAACAGGAAGTATTTTTACATGAATGTGTTGATATTTCACTGTTCAGTTTGTTTATTTGTATTTAGTTCATATAAAATTGGAATATGAATACGTCTTCCACTACCGGTAACTTAGCCTTATCTCTGTCATTCATTTATCAACTTCTTCACCGAACATTTCCCCACCAGGCCACAGAGATGTTGGTTCACAACGCCCAGAATCTGATGCAGTCAGTGAAGGAGACCGTCAGGGAAGCAGAAGCCGCCTCCATCAAGATCCGTACGGACGCTGGATTCACCCTCCGATGGGTGCGCAAGACTCCTTGGTACCAATAAACAAACCAGGTCACTGAAAACACAGCGACAGCACACACCTCATGAGTCATAATGTGCACAGTCATCGTGGGTGCGTGCATTAGATTCGGTACCGAGCAGGTTTCATTTACAGGAGTGAATTCCGCTTTGCTCTCCACTTCCCTTTATCTGTAACTTTTTAATATATATTTTTATGGTATGTTGTGTTATGAGAGTTTATCCAAATCCCAAGTAT